TTCATCTATGATATGAGACTGCCACAGACCAGCAAATCACAGAATTTTCTTTCTTTTCAGAACACAATTTTAAAACTGAAAGGCATCTTCTTGCCCAAAACCTTCACTATTCCAAAAATAAATGGTTCTGTTGGTAAACAGTCTACAATAGTAATAAAACAATTTTACTATTTTTTAACAAAAACGCTAAACATTACTTTCTCTTTTTGCTTCCCATGGTCCTTCTCCCCCACACCTCGCAGGAGCCATAAAATAAAAAGAGGGTTTTAGCCTCTTCACCCATCAATCCAACACCATCATTTTCAAGAATATGTTAGGTATCTGATAAAACTGGATCTAAGAATGTAAATATTTCATTTTGCTTTATTTAAAAAAAAAAAAAAAACAGCAGCAAACATTACTGAGAAAATAGTAATAAATGAATCTGGTAGTTTGTAAGGGTAGGTGTAACTGCTAGCTGTTCCTCAAGTAAAGCATCTGAGATTTGCCATAATCATTCATAATAAAATACAGCTAACTACTCAAAACAGTCCATGCCGTTTCATCTTGAAGGAGTAAGTGACTGGAAATGCCAAGAGTCCGTTAAGGTTCTTTCTCACGTGCAAAGCAACCACGGCCTCTGTCGGTGAGAGCTGCCCTGTACTGCCCGAGTGCCCTGCCCCCGGGCCTGAGCTGCCAGTGGCCAGGAGGCTGCAGAGAGCACATCAGGACACTCCCCACCAAGTGTGCACCGCCGTCCCCTCTCTGCAAACCACTCTGCAGCCTTCTCTGCTAAGGCGAATCTGTTAGTCCTGAGGGGGATGAACTGCCAGGACACTACGAGTCCGCTTACTAAGTCTACTGTCAAGGACAACTTCTAATGAAAGAGGACATTAAGCAATTCTCATGAGAAAGTGACTTTTGTGTGGCACAAAAAATTAAAGCACAGACTATCATTTCATACACTTAGTCATAAAGACACTTCTAAAGCCCTAGTACAAATGTCTGTGTACATCAAGAGCGATGAGAAAAATATGCCTGTAGACTACTTGTTACTTCAAACTGTCCCGATTATGACACACTCTGAAAATACATTTTGGTAAGGATGTGTTAACAAGCAGTTCGTAACTGCGGGGGGAAGGGACTTGTTAACCTCTGAGAAACTAACAGAAGCTGTTGTTGTTGTTATGTGCCGTCAAGTCAGACGTGACTCATAGCGACCCTCCTTGGGTTTCCAAGGCAGTATCACTACAGAAGTAGGATTGCCCAATCTTCCTTCCAAGGAGTGGCTGGTGGGTTTGAACCACCAGCCTTCTGGTTAGCAGTCAAGTGCCTTAGGCACTATGCTACCAGAGCTCCTAAAAGAAGCTATGTTGTTGTTGTTTGCTGTCAAGTCGGCCCCGACTCATGGCGACCCCTCCTTGGGTTCCCGAGGCAGTATCACTACGGAAGTAGGATTGCTCAACCTTCCTTCCGAAAAAGAAGCTATAACCAGACAAAAACACGTTTACAAATAAAAATAAAAACAAAACCCAAAACCAAACCCACTGCCATGGAGTCAGATCCCACTCACAGTGACCCCTCCCCTCCTTGGGTTTCCGAGGCAGTATCACTACGGAAGTAGATTGCCCAGCCTTCCTTCCAAGGAGTGGCTGAGGGGTTTGAACCGCCAGCCTCTCCGGTACCAGTCAAGTGCCTTAGGCACTACGCCACCAGAGCTACAAAGGGACATATAATTTTAGGAGGTTCTCAAAGACAATGAATCCCAAGTTAAGTACCAAAACTATCCAGATAAGAATTACTTTCACAGAAGACACTTAGGGAAGAGAGCTTTTTCTTCGCCCAATGTGTGTAAAACAACTAAATCTGTTCTTTGACTCCTTGACTGAAAAAGAATCAACGGCCATGTGTCCAACCCGAGGGAAGACTTGGCAGGTGCTGCACACTTCTAACAACTGTCAACGCCTCCTGACTCTAATCAGCTAGAAACTAACGCAAATAACTTCCACAGAAGTTGTACCTCTTGCGTTGAAACTTACAAAAACAGAAACATGATCTTTTTTTTTCCCCCAAGTGATCAACGCAAACATTACAAAGGACCACGACTCACTGAGGACCCACTTTATGCCAGGCACTGTGCTGCTCCTCTCTGTAACCGTGCTGAGGACATCCAGAAGCTCAGGACAGACTCAACTCGCCCCCAAAACTCTGACACTTCTAGTCAGAAAACACAGTCGGATGTGCATTTTTTCCAATTTATAACAAAAATAACATTACTCTCGTTTACAGGCAAATACCAAAGACCGTAATTTCACACATTGCCAAAGGCAGTAATTTCGAGGATAGAAATCAACATGAAAGCGAAAATCAAACTCTAGAGCTGAAAGTGATCAATGAGCTCTACCTAGCAGAGACAGGAAACACTGAGGATAAATTAAAGCACCAGTAAGGGAGGTCAGTGAACTCTACCACTTTATTTATTCTATAGCTTTAAGGTGGAATCTTCAAGAACCCTCCCCAGTCCTTGGAAGTGAAAAAGACACCAAGGACTTAGAAGCAAAAGAAGACGTGGAGGGTTAAAAAAAAAAAAAAAAAATTTAAGTCTCTTCTTCACATGTCACCTTCTAAAGTGTCTGAAAACAAACTATTTTGGTACTATATTGTTTTGAAAGTAAAACAGACTTTTTCTTTGCTGAATTTGCTCATCTGCAGAGAACATGAAGGCATTCACTAAAAGGAGACAATAGGAAGAAATAGTAAATGTAAAACCATTTATCTTTCTAGTATTTGGGGAAAATATTTTAGTTAATTGTTATCTAAATGAAGAACAACTCTGAAATAATATTTATAAAGAACACAGTTAATACCATATATAATGACCTATTATTTCCAATGGTTCCAGAGAGTAGTTATTTTAACAGGAAGCAGAATGACCACTTCACTGCTGGAACTCTGTGTAAGAGTAAACAGCTTTTCAGCTGATTTCATTTTTAATTATTTTCACCCTAAATTTCCATCATCACGCCCAATGGGATCACTGAACAACCTACTTACCCAAAAGTTATTATCTACTGAAAAGCCTGAAAGATACTAAAGCATTAATGGATTTTTAAACTAAATGTCTTCAAAATCTAATATTACCTTTAATGTTTTTAACTCTACCGATATGTAAAAAGGCTGTTTTTTCAAACAGTAAGCCTGAACTAGTCTGATCAAGACTGTGAGCAAAATATTTATTGTTCAAACAAAGGAGGAGGTGTCTGTTGCTAGGCCAACATACACTGGTACTGAAGAAAGCCAAAAGTTTTCTGACTGGCATCCAGGTCCCTTTATTGTGGGTGTTTTATAAAGACATAAGGTATTGTTTTACTCGTAACATGCCAACACATATAACATGCCCACACATGTAATGCACATAGTGTGCCTAGGAAACTAATGTGCAAGGGGTCATGGGGTTTGCAAAAGTCCAAACAGCACATGTTATTTGTGCAAACATATGGTACCCAGGTAAAGTAAGCCACCGCTTAGCAGTGTGGACATTCGCTCAGAAATTTTAGACGTACAGCTGACATGACGATTATGTTCGTGTAAACAGTGGGAATATAGCTCAGTGGAGAAACTCAGGCAGCATGTTACTTACAAGTCAACTTTTTAAGCTACGAGGGGATGCTCAGCTCTGATGCTGCTCTCTAGGGAAGAAGGGGAAATGTTCACAAATTTCACTGAACCTACAGACAAACTGGAGTCAAAGGTAGGGATGGAGCTCAGAGAATCCATTCTGAGAGGGCATCACGCTTGGTAAACCAGGGGGCCAGGGACATGGGGAAGCCCCTCAATGAGATGGACGGACAGGTAGGCTGCCATGCTGGGCTGAAGCCCAGCAGCGACTGTGAGGGTGGCGCCGGACTGGGCAGGGTGCTGCTCTGTTGCACAGGGGTGGTTATGAGCCACACTGACGTGATGACACCTAACAACAACATGGGGCGCAGGGGAGGGGGGGAGGGGAAGAGAAGGGAGACCAGGAGGGAGACGAGCGAGCGCGGGGGAGGAGAAAGGAGGAACTGGTAAACTACTTGGCCACACCAGGCGAGTCTGGCTCTGAGTACACTTGACACTTTACACACTGCACCAGACACCGGGTTCCAGCATTATCTTCTTTCATTCTTCTTCCTGAAAAGGTTCTAGATTTAGACATGAGTAGTCTACTTCCGTAGTGTACTGCCTCAGAAACCCAAGGAGGGGTCGCTCTGAGTCCGGGTCGACTCGACGGCACGTAACAACAACAACAACAACATTATTGAAACCAAGGATCTGTCTCACTTACTAGGTCATGCTCAATGTGCATGAGTTTTTAGAATAAAAGAACTTCAAAGAACCACTGGTCTCTCAAAGGGTTGCTTTGAACTTCGCCTCAGGACCCCAGGGGGAAAGGGCATTTGCTCAAATTCTCCTGCCCTTGTGAGTGAACTTGAAAGGAAGTGGCTGGGAAAGACCGTTTCCCTCCAGTGCCCCCTAAGGCTAGGGCTTCTTTTCTAGTATTTTATGTAAAACTCAAACATCTGAAAAGCAACACATCTAAAGATATATTTAGAACGACACAGAAAAAAATTTTTTTAAAATTTAATACCAAAGGAGGACTTAGAAGCCCACGGCCCCTCCAGCCCCTCTATTTCAGATGTGGTCACGGAAGATTTTGCATGAGATAACAATGTCACTGACTTTAAGAAATAGGGCAACACCAATGTCCACATAATGTTTTTCTAAATAAATTATTTTCTCCTTTAAATTCATTGTTGTGCTTTTCTAATTCCTTAAGCATAACTTTCACATATATTTAAATTTTGCTTTCAATTTCTGAAGTACAAATGTGGTCCACGGTACCAACAGCTAGAACTAAAAATCAATATTGTATTCAAAACGTGATTTACTCAAGTAGACAGTTCCAGCTGTGATGCATTAAACACAAATGGTGCTTACAGGTTTGGTATGTGGAACTTACTGGAAACGGTCACTTAACTTACCTGGTGCTAATCCAGCAGTGGCAGGGCTTCCCACGGACGGGTGAGAGAACACTTGAGAGAAGGCAGACATATTTGACTGGGACACGTTACTCAGCCTGGAGGCTGGTCCTCCTTTGGGAATAAACTCGCTTGCAGTAGGATTTGGTGTCTATTTAAAAATCAAATAGAGTCAGTTAACATACTTTTAAGTCCAAGAAAAGACATTCGAATCGACTACACATTACTCCACAGTGCTTTAGGTATGGAAAAATATCTGACCTAAATAATTCACTGAAAAGATGTACAAGTGTTTTAGCTTCCATTTTTTGGTGTGGTATTAAATTTCTTGAAGGAAAACTGCTCATTAAATTAGAGGACTTTAATCATTTCACTTGAGAATTTTAACCCCCAAAACAGGTAAAATGTGCCCTCATTTTCCAATATGCCTCATTACCAACTCTCCTCACTGGTATTTTTTAGAGAACTGGGAGGCTGAGATTACCTCAAAACTGAGCAACAAGTTTCAACTTGACTGGCTTCCAACCACTTCCACTAGGTAAAGGTCACGCCTTTATTCCAAAATTAATCACTTCCTTTTTTTTTTTATAAACTGTTAGGATATTTCCCCCAACAATATGGTGTCATGTACTTAAGTAACAGAATAAAGGCAAGAGAATCACTTAAAAACAAGACAAATTTGTGGGAGGAATCAAGATCTAAGAAAAGCAAAGCTGAACTCCAGCCCCTGCAAAGCACTGCATGCAATTTGTTTTATTAAAAATATTTTACTATAAGATTTACATGAAATTTTTTTCAGCAGTACTATGCCATAACTTTTTCTATGCTCAGGCAGCACAGGACTTCTGGCTTTAAGATCTACTGTAACACCATGAGATCCATCAAAAATTCATAAACAGCCTATATTTTATTCATGTGCAACAGCTGTACATCACAAACATTTTTCTGAAACGCTGACCATTTAAAATTCCACCTGCCAGAGTACATATAATAAAGACTCAGTGAAAGTGAACACTGATGATGGGAATTGAACTCCACTTTCAAGAAGGTCAACTAAGGAAATAATTTAAGGTGGTAATTCCATATGTTTGACGTTCTCCCTACATTTATGCACACATAGAAACTACTGTAAAACACATTATGGTCATCATTATGCAAAGAGTTTAATCACTCAAGAGCATTTTAAGACTGATCATGAGGATAAAAAGAAGAAAAAGAATTTCCAGAGGAGAGAGAAATAAGGAGATGGACTCATTACTGCACAAGAACAACAACTTCCCTATTGGGCAGGAGACACGGGCAAGTGCCTGGGTAGGGCTCAAAACATGGCAAGTGGAAGGCAGCCAGTCAACAGGGTGACCCATTTTAAACTCTGTAATGAAGGACCTTACCAGTTATGAGCCAGTGAAAATAAATGAAGTGATAACACACAGAAAGCACGCTGTATCTGGGCCTAGCTACAATACACTAGATCTAGGAAGAACTGTCTTCCCTGCCACAGCTAAGACATGAAGTTCTGAAAAGATATCAATCAGTAGAAATGAGGATAAACCAACTTACTTCCAAAGAGATTTCTTTTTCCTCTATCACTTACACATACACTTCTACATCCTCCCAAATTCTCAATTTTTCAAAAATGGTGTCACATTCTTCGAGCACAAAGCCAACTCCCTAATTCCCAGGGTAGAAAACAAGCCAGGGCACTTGACTGCTAGAGCAACCCCTAGTTATTAGGGAACACCTGGCTACGAAGAGGATCCAAGTGCTTCTGAGGTGAAAAAATAAATCTAAAGTTACCTTAAAAGAGGCCGGTAAGACAGACGCAACGAGGTGTCGCCAAAGAAGTGGAGAGTTTAAGGGTGGGGATGCACAAGGTTACTAGGCAACAGCAGAATCAGACAAGGACAATTTTTTTTACTTTTTTTTTTTTTATTAGGATTTGGGTGAAGATTTACAGAATAAATTCACTTTTCATACAGCAGTTCACATATACTTTGTCTCATGTCATTGACCAAAATTTACAATGCAGCAGCTCCCCTCCCACTTCCTCCCCATAGTTACCTCCTCCCAGTGTCCATCCCTTCATACTCTTCTGCACCCTGAGCTATCTCCCTGTGCATAAGCAGCCCTTCCTTCTCCCATGATTGTTCTCTCCAGGGCGTGTGTCTACTTGAGGTAAATGTTTAACTCACATGCCTGTACTTTGTTTGGCTGGAAACCACAGTTGTGGGTTCAATTCCAGACCTGAAGGGCAACTAGGGGCCATAGTCTCAGTGGTTACACCAGGCTCCATTGGACCAGCAAACCTGGTCCCCACCTTCTTTTTTTTTTTTTGCCTCCAAACGATTTTGAGTTTCGTACCACATTGTTCTCCCTCTTTATGTAGGATCTCCTACATCCCTTCCAAGTGGATGGCAGTGGTAGCTGGGCACCATCTAGTTCTTCTGGTCTCATAGTTGTATAGGTTGCAGATCGGATGGTGTACCAGTCGCTAGGACTGATTGTTTCCATTAATTTTGGTTTTCTTCTTTCTTCTTGACGAGGAGAGACCTGTTGTTGCATCTAGATGGCAGCTTCCTAGCTTTTAAGATCCCAGTCGCTACTCGCCAAAGTAGTAGGTGGAACAATGTTTTGTATAGCATGTTATGCCAATTGAGCTTGATGTCCCCTGCGACTATGGTCCCAAGCCCGCAGGATCAACTACTCGGTCCCTCTGGGTAGCTGGCTGTGACCAAGTAATGACCATAACCTTGCCCCTAGACAAGGACAATTTTATCTGAATGGGAACATTCCTGTAGCATATTCCTGAGAAACAGAATACTGCTTCCCACCTCAATGACATCCTGCAGTACAGTGCAGTGGAAGACCTGATTGCAAAGCTGAGTTTCTCTGACTTAAATCGACATTAAATCAATTTGCAAGTCTACTTGTAGGAAACCCTAAAAAGGAGAAAAGGGAGAAAGTCCACTCTACCGCCTCAATATAAATAATGATACAGAATGCCACTGTAACAAATTACACAGGGCTTTCTAACTGTTTTATTCTAATAGAAGTTATTCACATTAATGTAACTACTGAACTTACACATTAAACTGCAACTTTCAGGACTTCACTAGCCAGAAACCCCCAAAACCCCACCAGACGGTGAATGTGAATTCCGCGAAGAAAGCAGGGTCTCCAAGCCTGCCTCCTTTCTTTGTCCTGACTTAAGATGGTCGTGTCCCATCCCTTGAGGGGCCACTTGGGGAGTTTGTTTTTATTTCGGCTGCGCGTTATTTCAGATTAGAGAAAAGGTAGAAGGATTTCAAAGGCAGAGAAAGAGCTCACACGATCAGCTGCAAGGCATGGGAGGCAAGTGGAGGGACAGAGGCCAACAGAGGCGGCACACGGCAACGATCAGACAGATTCAAGGCAGTAATGAGAAGCCGAGACTTAACCTCAAATACCTTTTCCATGATACAATTCTTCAAAATAATGGCTAGAGTAAACTGGACAATTCTCTGTAATACATGAATTCTTAAAATCACTTTAATATAAATAAGGGTCATATGAAGTTTAAAGAAAATAACATTAAGTGGGCTACTTTAACATGTTGTAAAGAATCATTTTGGCAAACTACAGCAAAACCGGCAACTAAAATCAACACATTAAAATGAAGACTTTATTGACAAGAAAATTCTTCCTTTCAGCTTCAGGAGGCAAACACTTTAAGTAGAAGATCCACATTAGACGTATCACTTGTCTACCTTCAAAAAGACTAAAAAAGGGAACAAACAAGAGCAGTGAGAAAAAAAATCAGGTTCACTGTTCTTGCCCTGTGACAAAAATAATGCTACTGATAACTGCCTATCTGTGTCTCAATATTTAATTTTTGTTTTTAATAAAATATACAGATAAATGTTCATTTCTATTCATAATTTTAAATCCTTTCATTCAGACTTTAAACAACTCTAAGTGCATATTAAAAAAGTTCATTCAAGACAAATAACACATTCATCCACCAATAACAAGACATTTAGATTCAAAAACACTTAAATTTACAGTGAATTTTCACAGCCAAAACACCAAGCGCTTTTTATGTAGCAAGGTCTCCAAACTGACAACATTCTCCAGCATTTGGACACAATCCCAACCTATCCCTTTCTCAACACAAATAAATAGAGTTCTGCTTTTACCTTACAGAAGTACTGTTGCTCAATTATTGTTGTTACTACAATATTAGAACACACAGATAAATCAATCCAGCCATTCCACCCAACCAGAAGGAAGAACCTTTTTTTAATCTACAAATGATCAATACAGGTTTCTTACAATAATTTTCTGGTAAGTTTTCTAACTCAGGCTTAAAACAATTTTATGCTCTTCTATCCTCATTATTTGTAGGAGCTCTGGTGGCACAGTGCCTAAGGCATGTGACTGCTAACCAGAAGGCTGGCGTTTCAAACTCACCAGCCACTCTGTGGAAGGAAGATGGGGCAATCTACCTCCGTATAGATACTGCCTTGGAAACTCAAAGAGAGGTTGCTATGGGTCAGAATCGACTTGATGGCAGTGAGTTTGGTGTTTTCTTTTTAAAAAAAAAATCCTCATTATTGTTCAATACAAAGTCTTAATTTTCAATTAAAATCCAGTATTTAATATTCAAAGGAGCTCTGGTGGTGTAGAGGTTAAGGCATCTACCTTTTAACCAAAAAGGTCAGTCAGGGGTTCAAACCCATCAGCTGCTCCACAGGAGAAAGATGTGGCAGTCTGCTTCCATAAAAATTTCAGCCTTGGAAACCTTAGGGGCTGTTCTTCCCTGTCCTATAGGATCACTATGAGTCAGAATTGACTTTATGACAACAGGTTTGGATGTTTTGGTTAATGTTTGTGAGTATTACTATATTGCTTGGTTGGTTTTCTGTTTTTGTTTCATTTTCTTCAACCAAAGCCAAACCAAACCCACTGCCATCGACTCAGTCCCAACTCGCAGCGGCCCCCACTGGGTTTCTGAGGTGGTCAATCTTCACGGAAGCACACAGCCCTGGGTTTTCCTTCTTAAGGCCTTAAAATACCTCCTCTGCCTCAGGCTCCTGAAAATGAACTCAAGTTTGCTTTACCTGCCTTGATGGCTTTATCCCACTGCCATCAAGTTAACTGCAACTCATAGCG